GCTGGGATCGCCCCCCTGGCACGGAGAGGGAGCTCCGGCTCTGCTGCCGCTCGCCCCTGGCGCTGGGAGGGTCGGGATGCGCGGGAATGTCGCGACACGGGGAGGATGCGGATGCGGGGGGAAGGTTGGGCTCGGTGGGCTTGGTCTGCAGCTCCCTCGGGAGGGGCAGAGGAGGGACAGGCCCTGAGCTCTGCTCTGTGGGGACCAGGGACAGGACCCCAGAGAATGGCCTGGAGCTGTGTCAGGGAGGGTCAGGCTGGATCTCAGGCAAAGGTTCTTCCCCCAGAGGCTGATTGGGCACTGCCCAGGCTCCCCAGGGCAGTGGGCACAGCCCCAAGGCTGCCAGAGCTCAGGATGATCCTCTCAGACACATGGTGTGACTCTTGGGGGTGGTCCTGTGCAGGGATAAGTGTTGGACTCAACGATTCCTGTGGGTCCCTTCCAGCTCAGCCTGTTCTGGGATTCTGTCCCTTCCAACTTTCGTGACTCTGTGATTTTCCCTGCCCTGCCCTGGGGAGCTCACTGAAGTCAGCAGACTTTGGGGCAGATCCCGTCTAGGCAGTGAGGAGATAAGGGGAAAATACAAGGAACCCTTTCAGCACTGCTTACAGCTCCACAGACAGCATGCCCTGTAACTCAAACCCTCTTTGGGATCCCAAAGAGCAGTAATCAGACATCAACTACAGTAGATTTTTTTCCTTAGCTGAAAGTAATGGCTGATGAGGCAGAGATTTTCTGCCAGTAAGTGGAAAAAAAATTGCATTTGTTTATCAGAAAGACCCTGAGTGCAGCTTGTGACAGTATTTGTAGACAGTGAAGCTTTTTTTAATAACAATGTGCTGTCTGTGTTTTTCTCATGCCTTTCACAACAGCAGTGGACATATCCCTCAGAAGAGGTAAGGGGGCTTTGCCTGTCTCACCAAGCCTGGATGAGTGTAAAGTTCCCATGAGAAATACAGGTTATGCCAGAAATGTATTCTCTAATATTGCAGTTGTAGTAAAAAACTGTTCCTGTTGTAACTTCTGTGTAAAGTGTTAACAGACTGATCCTGACTAGTTAATTATTCAAAAATTCCCCTATGAAAGGTCTTTAAACTCTCACTCTTACAGTGCTCATGTAGGAATACAGAAGAATAAAGCAAAGCCAGCAAATAACCCACGGAGGGGTTTATAATGACCTGTCCTCTCATCCTGTTTGTTCTGAGCACGTTACAAATGTTGCTGAATGTTTTCCTTCTGTGCAGACACGTAGGTTAGCAGATTGTGTCTGCAGAGAAATATTTACTGAGTAGAACAAAACTGTTTGTTTCCCCAGTCTAAATATTGGGCCTGTTGTGCTGAGGAACGCAGGAGTGCCTGGAGTCAGACGATGTGTCTGTTCACTTTGATCTCCCCTTGTAACCAAAATAAGCTTGTGCTGCTTCTGCATGAGAAAGTTCTTGGCTCCTGACAGCCTGAGAGCAGACACTGTTTCCTTCCTGGGCAGTCAGCAGCACCACCCAGAGCAGAGGGAACTGGGCTGGGGGAACACGTCTTGTTTGCCCTGGTAGAGACACTGAAAACTGGAAGAGTAAGTGTAGGTGGGAGAATGGGAAGGAATTCTTCCCTGGGAGGGTGGGGAGGCCCTGGCACAGGTTGCCCAGAGAAGCTGTGGCTGCCCCATCCCTGGAAGTGTCCAAGGCCAGGTTGGAGCAACCTGGGATAGTGGGAGGTGTCCCTGCCTGTGGCAGAGGGTGCAACTGGGTGAGCTTTCAGGTCTTTTCCAACTCAACCCATTCCATGAGTGCAATATAAACTCCATGGAACTATTACACACACCCTGAAAGATAAATCCTTGCTGTTTCTGCTTGTGTAGGGGAGTCTCTGATTTTAGCTGCTTAATTCCTTAAAAATAACAATAAATTTAAAAAATCCTCTTTGAACTCCTGCAAAGGAGCTCTGTTCTGAAAATGCTGCATATGTGAGCTTGCTGTCTGGCACAGCATTGCTTCTCTGGGAGGAACTCCCAGGATCTGGAACTCACAGAAAAATCGTGAGGGAGCTGAGAAGAGCAGGACATGAAAGGACAGTGCTAAAAACTGTTTGATGCAGTAAGAAAAGCTTGGAGGTGCCATTGCCAGGCCAGGAACACAAGAGGCTCTTTACCTGTCTACTTTTCCATAGAAGCAGTGCAAAACTCGTCCAGATGGAAGCATTAGCACTGAACTCTGGCCCTGCAGGCAGAGTTGCTGTGACAGGTCCCTCTCCCTCCCCGCAGGACAGACAGTTTGCCGCCGTGGGACGCAGAAACCCTGCTACAAAATCGTGTATTTCCACGATGCCTCCCGCAGAACCAGCTACGAGGAGGCTCAGCTGGCCTGCCAGGCTGACGGGGGACACCTGGTGAGCATCGAGAGTGCGGCAGAGCAGAGACTCATCGAAACCTTCGTCAGGAGCCTCCTGGCTTCCGACGGGGATTTCTGGATAGGGCTCCGGAGGAAAAAGGAGGAGGAGGAGGAGGAGAACAATAGTACAGAGTGCCAGAACTTCTACTCCTGGTCGGATGGCAGCTCAGCCAAGTTCAGGTGGGTGCCTGGGGGTGGCACTGGGAGGCAAAAGGGTCAGGGACTGTCACCTGCCTTCAGCAGTCACAAAGGGTTCTGTCAAATGACCCAAGGGATATTGTCCCAGCTGCCATCTGTGAGTCATCCCACCCAGATATAAAGTTACCCTGCTCTGGAGACTCTCTGTTGCTCCATGTGACACCTAGAGTGTTTAGCTCGGGCTAATTGATGATTTTTGGTTGCTAAAAGGAGGGGGAAGAACAAGTGATCTGGTCTTAAAAAAAATCTGATTAGGCAGCTACAAAATAAGTGCTTTGACCTGGAGGTTCCTGCACTTCAGATGCCCTGGAGCTCATCCCTGAGCAATGGGCTCTTTCCCTTCCACTTGCTGAAGGAATGACATTTTTTTTTTTCCTGTGAGACAGTTAAATCTGAGAGCTGCAGGATTTCTTTGTAGACGTGAAAAGTTCAAGTTTTCACAACATCTGTGAGATTTCTGCCTCCCTGTCTTAAGGTGAGAGAAACCACGGCATTTGTTGAAATTTAAAATATCAAAGCAGCAACATTTACACCCATCTGCATTCTCCTTCCTATTGCACATGGGTAAAAACATCTTGCCAGTGACCTTCTTGCCTTGGCAGCTCATCAGATATTTCACTTGCCCTGTGAAGAAATGAATAAAACTGCTTTTAGTGCTGTTGGGTGTATTAAAGTTTCTCCTGTGGTTCAGATATTGGGGGTGGATAATGGGAAGCTGGAGCCAGATCTGCTGCTAAGAAACAGGCCCAGCTTTATTGCCTTCCATTGGTGAGACACAGCTTATTTGTGCTGAATGATAAAGCCAAGGAAAACACCAGGGGAGGAAGGAAGTGAGGGAGAAATACAGCATTGGAATGATTGAAAAAACACTGCTTTAACACACAGGGGTGTTTTCCCATGTGGAGTACCTTGGGATGGCTGGAATTATCTCTATTGTACGGGCCAGCTTGGCAGGCAAAACATGGTTTGCTCCAAAATAGTGGGTATTGAGCACTTGTCAAAATCTAAACCCAGCTTAGAAGAGTTCCTCTGAGCTGCAGAAGATGCCTCCTCAATACCAGTGGTGTTCCAGGGGGCTGAGCCTCCTTCCTGGGTGCTCTTGGAAAAGCCTGCACAGTTGTCTGGTGGTGAAGTTTATTATTAGAACAACAAAAAGAAAATTATCTGCAAGCCAGTGTTGGTGCATTTCCAGACAGAGAAAACCAGATTCCCCCTTCAGCTTTTTCATTTCCTCATTAAAGAGGTGTTGAAATTTTGCAAGGCCAGAGAGCAAAAAAAACAACTGTGGTAGATGATTTTGCACAGGTCTAAAATCGTTTGGGAAAGTCAAATTTCTCCCGAGGGGTTCCAGGCAGGGAGACGCTCAGCAACATTTAACACCCTGATTGCTGAGTTGTTTTTTTTTTTTTTCCTTTGGAAAAATCGGAATTCCAAGAATAAATAACTGTATTCCCAGGGGAAGGGCGGGGTGGGGGGGTGTGCTGTGACCCTCTGGCTGTGCCCTCTGGGCCGTGTTCCCACCTGAGCTCCCGGGAAGGGACGTGGGGTGGCCCCTGCCCGTGTTGGTTGTGTTTTCCCAGGAACTGGTACGTGGATGAGCCATCCTGTGGGAGTGAGATCTGCGTTGTGATGTACCACCAGCCATCTGCCCCGCCAGGTGTCGGGGGGCCTTACATGTTTCAGTGGAACGACGACAGATGCAACATGAAAAATAACTTCATTTGCAAATATTCCCTCGGTAATGAGTCATTCTGTGCCTTTGAAACCCAACCCCCAGAAGGTATGAGGAGGCTGCAGGGACACAGGGAAACCCTTCCTCAGCTCCACTGCTGGGAGATGGGTATCTCTGAGTTTGTGCAAGTGCTGGGGGAAGCAATCTCAGCATTAATATCTGCTGGTATAAATTTTCAGAGGATTTTTATGAAGTGTGAAGTGTTTGAGGTCTCAGCTGGGGCCTGAGGGAGAGAGAACACCAGAGAAGGGTGCTCATGGTGTTGGTCTCCCCACTCAAACTGTGCTTTTCTCTTTTCTTTCAGAGAAGCCAACAAATGCTCCAATAGAGAATCCTCAGAGAGGTGAGCTGGAGCTTGGGGCTCTTCTTTAATGATAAGTTAACTTTCAGAGGCAGCCCTGTGTTACAGACATTCTCAGCAGGCTGAAAACACACTGAGCAAGAAACTCCCCTGCAGTCTGCACTTTTCCTTGTGCTATTCCATAACCCATTCTGTAGGAAAACAGCCTGGCTGCTGTCGATGCAGGTCATGGAAGCAGAAGAGGGCCAGTACCCTTTGCCCATCTTTGCAGCTCTCAGTCTCTCCCATCCCCTCACCCTCACTTTTATGACTCTAAGCTCTTTCAAAAAGAAAATCTGCAATGTTAACTAAGCTGCTTCTTCCCAGATGTTGCCACGGAGCCCTTGAGCCCAGTGCTGCCAGGAGAACCCCGGAGGAGAGGTGTTAATGTGACAGCTGTGGGAGCCAGAGGTAGGTTGTGCACTCCCCCCTGGCTGTGCAAATCCACATTTTTCACATTTGGCTGCAAACAGTTTCAAGTGTTTGACCCAAACTGTAGGAGGCTGTATATACAGTCTGAAAAAAAAAACAACAAACAACCTTCCCTCAAATCTTCCCCTTCAGTACAAACCTCAACTGGCTGCTTTGGCCACCAGAATGTTCAAAATCTAAAGTGTTCTGGGTCTGGAAAAGGTACTTTTATTGAATCACTTTTGAGTGGCTAAATTGACCATGTTTTGTTTGTAAGTGTATATGATTAACTGTGAGAATCTTCCAATTCCTTCTTACCACTGACTCCTTTTTACCCCTAGAACCTGTTCAGAGTCTTGCCTACATCCTTATTCCCAGCATTCCTGTGCTGCTGCTCCTGGTGGTCGTTACAGGCATCTCCTGTTTCTGGCTTTTTGTGAAGAGGTAAGTGGCATTTTTATGTTAAAATCCCCTGTGGTAGCATTTCCTGGCAGTAATGTCACAGCTGCTTTTGGCACCCTGTGAGGTGCTCTGCAGAGGACCTCACAAAGAAATGTTTAAAAAGTGCAGTGGGTGCTCCAGGCTGAGTTATTTTCAAGCAAAAATTTTAAGTAAATCACATTATAGCATATTAGTGTGTTCACAGATATAGCAGTCAGGGAAGAGTGTAAACAAGATAATGATTGTCATCTTTCTTATTAAAGATTCGAATCATCGATTTTTGAATTATCAGATGTTCACTTTTGAAAGTGAAAAATGTGGAGATAAAAGGAGCAAGTAATACTTGTTGATAAGTAATATCTCCATGCTTTCCCTGTGTGCACAGTGGCTCTGCTGGGGGTGCTGGTTGTGGATTTGGGAACGTCAGGGTTGGGTTTTGCTGCCTCAGTATCTCCAGGGTGGTGCCAAGGGGCTGTTCCGGGTGTGCAGCACGGAATGACAAATAATTCCCAATTTTATGCAGAGGGTCAGCTTTCCTCGAGGGTCAGCATTAAATCACTGTAAGAGGTGTGGTGTTGCTTTGTGCCATAACAGGGGTTTTTGTTTCCCCCCCATTCCCCAGGAGGGAGGAGCAGATGGACACGAGCCCCAAGGAGGAGGATGCCTGGCTGTCCAACAGCCCCAGCCTGGACATCTACAAAGTCATCAACAAGCAGTCAGAGGCAGACCTGGCTGGCACCAGGCCTGGCACCAAGAATTCCTCCTTCCGGGCCCGGGAGCACTGGGAGCTGGGCAGGGCCGGGCAGGAGGCAGCGCCCAGACCCCCCAGCAGTGGCTTTGGGCCCGAGAGTGGCTTTGTCACCAACGACATCTACGAGCTCTGTGGGGAGCGTGTGGGCAGGAGCCAGGAGTCCACCTGGGTGGACAATGAGATTTATGGATATTGAGCAAACGGACAGAAAAAAACCCCCCCTGGAACTCAGATGACAAAGTGGGTGCTGATACGAGTTTACCTGCCCTGTCTATGCACTTGTTTTAATGATGTTTATCCTGGGTTTGCATTGTCCCCATATTCTTCTCTTTTTTTTTTTTTTTTCTTTTGGAAGAATGTGGGTTTTTAACGATCCAGACTGAAAAGAATGTACATATTTTGCTTTGCATCAAGCCCCCTTTGCCCTGGGAACGGCTTGTTAATAATCTCCATTCACTTTTTTTGTACCAAAGATATGCCTTGAAAAACTAGAGGACAATCCAAAATCCTTATTTATTGAACTGACCCTGTTGTCTTAAAGGTGCTAAAAGTTGCCTGTCAGGTGTGATGGAGCCCTGCTTTCCTGGAGATGGGGAGTGGGGAATGAATGCCTTGGTGTGCTTTGCTTGTGTGTGCAACTTTTACTTGACCTATTAAACTGCCTTTGTCTCAAACCACGAATTTTCTCACTTTTCCACTTCTTTCCCTCATCCTCCTGGGAGGGAGGGAGTGAGGGGAGACCAAGAACATAAAGCATGTCAAGCAGGAACACAAACAGGACACACCTTTTGCCCTGCAGGTGTTTCTGGCTCCAGGAGAGAGCAACGTTTTGCTGCTGAACAAATCTCTGAAGCACCTAAAATGAATTTTTAGCTCTTGACAGGGTTCCCTTAAGAGCTTGCTCTCCTCCCTTGCATGGAAATAAATAAATAGGAAAAGGAAGAATTTTCACAAGCCACCAGGAAACAAAGGTTTGGCAAAAGGTGTTTTATGCTTGGCTGAAACAACAATAGAACTGAGTGAAGGGGTAATCACGAACCTGTTCTCCCAAAGCAAACAGGCAGGAAGAGGATTCTACTGCAAACACTGAAATATTTCAGTGCACAAGGGCTCTGTGCTGCACATCTGCAGTGTCACAGTGTCTGCCAAGCCCCTGCTGTTCCTCCACCAGAGCGTGGTGCAAGATGAAGCCCTGAAAGAAGTAATTCCTTTAAAAAAAAAAAAAAAGAATTAATCTTCCAGGTCTTTTGAAAATGGCATCGAGTTAGCAACACTTTCTCCTGAAAAGCAAAATCCTTATATAGGAGAATAGGCAGTGCTGGGCACTTGGAATGCCTGGAGTTTCCAATGCAGTAATTAGTGCTCTTTCATCAAGAGAAAAATCGATCCGTTTTGACTCTTATATTCTTGGTCTCTTCCCTTGGTTTTTGGGGTGGTTTGCTGTTGTTATTTGGGGTTTTTTGGTTGTTTTTTGTGTTTTTTTTTTGCAGGCATTAAGCATCAGGCACATCCTGAGCATTTCAGGCGTTGAAAACCAGAAAAGGAGAGGTAAAGCTTGCCCGAGGTCGGAGATGAGGCGTCTGAGGCTGTGTTTTGGTCTGGTCCCGGCTCCCCGAGCTCGGGCAGCGAGCGGCGTGTGCCCAGGCGAGGGGATTTGAGAAATTCTGCTGCTGGCCGTCTCCTCTGGAGCCCTGGAGCTGCAGTGACCACACGAGGGCATGTGCGCTCCACGTTTGTCCTCCACGAGCTGCTCCATCCCTGCTGTGCCAGGAGCGCTGGGATCCCTTTCCTTGGAGCGCGGCAGGACACGTCGATGGCCGCTAAAATCTCCCGGACAAAGGATGTTTTTGTGACTGCAGAAGTGGCCGGGAAGCAAATAAATGTTTTAATACTAAAGAATCCGGTTTATAATAAAGTGGACTGTGAATGAATATCAGGCAATATTTGGCACAGTGGAGAAAAAGTTACTTTTAACGCACCAAGCTCGAGTCTGTAAAAAAAAATGAAGCCCCTCCACAGCAGAGAAATGTCACAAGTGGCACTTTGGGATGACACCACTTTCTATTCAAGTAGGATTATGGAAAGCTTGCTCATGTACCTATCAATCACTTAAAAGGGTGGATGTCTGACTAACTCAAGTCATCAGTTAGTCATTGCCAGAACTTCTGAAGGGGATAAATAGAACAGTGAGAGCACTCTGGTTGTTCTCCATGGCAGCCCAAGTCAGCAGCATCATCTCCAAATGTCATTCCTTAGAGAATCTCAGGAACAGGGAAGGACAGGCATTAATTTTTGCACAGAGAACTTCAGCTCCCTTTGCAGAACAGTCATCACTCTTTGACACGTAGCAAATTTAACCAACTTTTCACAAGTATGACACAGCTTTACGTGTAGAACTTGTACAAAAAAGGGAAAGCAAGAGGCACAAGTTTGTTCCTTGCATTCTTCCACTTGTTCTTTTCGTGGCCACGCTCTGCTCTGAGCTGTGTTTGCATCAGAAAAGGTCTGTGGCTGTGTTACTGATCCAGAAGACACGAGGCCTCTTGTTCCATCAGCTTTTGGATGTGCCTCGTTTGGTCAGTGGAATGGAGCAAAGATTCCAGGGGTGATTCCTGGTGCCCAAAGTGAATCCTCCAGCCTGAGATGGGGCAGAGGATAAGAGTGGTCAGAGAGGGACAGGCATGAACTGGGAGAGCAAAGATTACTGCAGAGTTAAAATGGCATTTTTGGAATGAAAGCAAGCTCATGTGTAAGTGCACAGACAAATCAGACCTGGTGGACTTAGTACTGGAAAGGGAACTTAGCATGAAAGGCTTTTTTCACACATTCTCAACTCTGAAGGTCCTCTAACCAATTCATGTCAAAGGGCCTAACAGAGCTTCCCAATCTGTCTTTCCAGGTGTGCAGGAAATAAATAGAGGAATAGTTTAGTTATAGAAGGGACCTGCAAAAGTTATCTGCCTTAAGGACCCACAAAGTCTGATCCAGGTGCAGCAGCTCAGGGTCTCAGTGCATGGAGCCCCTGATTTGGGGCTGGAGAGACACCTGGGGCCGACCCATTCCCCCTCATCCTGCTAATGAGCTGGGCCTGCTGGGATCTCATTAATGGGATAATGGGATCTTATTAATGCAGGGGGTGGGTTTAACCCCCCCCTCCTACAGCCACACTGTGGGGCACCTACCGAGCTGGGAGAGCAGGAGGGGATGCCCACACCAAGCCGTGGGGGGAGCCTGGGGGACCCATCAACCCTCAGCATCACTGCCTCATCCCTGTCTCTACCTCCATCCCCCCCTACATCCTCGTTCCTGTCTCCATCCCCATCTCTACCTCTATCCCTGTCCCCATCCTCATCCCTGTCCCCATCCTCATCCCTGTCTCCATTCTTGTCCCCATCCCCATCTCTACCTCTGTCCCTGTCCCCATCCCTGTCCCTGTCCCCATCCCTGTCCCTGTCCCCATCCCTGTCCCTGTCCCCATCCCTATCC